ATGTCTTCAGACACTTATCACATATGCCGAAGCTTGAAAGCTGATTTTTTTTAGAAGAGTGGTGATATAAATCATGACAGTTGAAGAAGTTATTTCCATAGCCTTGTTCTTGAGTTTACGCCCAACTGCTTTTCTTTTATATGCTGTTGACTTAATATTTCAATGAAGCATAAGAGCTATTTCAAACAGGCGTGCTTGTTTTCTGGTATAACAGTTCACTGCATCAAATTCCACATTACACAATGTCTAATTCCATTTTTTTGTTGGTGCTTGAGATAAAAATTATTTTCAGAATTTATTTCCATTTTTCTGTAAACAGACGACAAAAATGTTATCCTAAATGTTATCCTAAAGTGAGCATTACTACTCCTTCATTTGCTGTTTTTTTATAACTAATGCTATATTCTCCCAATAGGGAAATGTATTAGTGGAACAATCCTGCATGAGTGTTTTTTTTTTTTTTGGTTTGTTGTGTTTTTTGTATGGACAAAAAAAGCTGGAAACAAGAATATAACTTTACACAGGTCAGCGCAGAAATCCTAAGTGACCATGATATAAGTACGGTGTAATGCCCGACAAGGTGTCCAATATCAGAAATAATTGCACAATGCGAAGGTGTTCCGCGAAGTCCATTCATTTATGATAATGGACACCTGGAAGGGCATTATCCCTCATATACCATCACTTACTCACTTTCACAAGAAGCAGCTGAACAGATTATTTAATATTGCTTATTGTGACATAATGCTAAGCTAACCACCTCTGGCCAAAGAACCTGCAGTTCTGCAGGCTCCAAATTCATGCTTTGAAAGGTGATGAAACAGATCATTTTGGCAGATTCCAGTGCAACACTGTATTTTAGAACAATCAAACTTTATCAAAACTTTTGTTAATGGTGTCATATATAACCCTTTTTAACAGAGACACTGCTGTCATTCAGAATCATATATATATATATATATATATATATATATATATATATATATATATATATATATATATATATATTTATATATATATATATATATATATATATATATATATATATAGAACTGTTTACAGCAGTTCCGCAGAAATATTCATTAGAGCTGGGGTTTTTTTTTAGCAATGTCATGAATTCAAACAAACAACCAAACAGATTTGGCCCACTTTAAAAAATGTTGGATGTTATTTTTAGACTTTTATATGACCTTGATCCGTAGATACATCACATGGACAAGCAACTCTCTCAGACCATTTTTGGATATCTATATATTTATTTTTTTTGATAAAAAGAAAAAGTTAAAATGTGACTTTATAGTAAATGTTTGCATAAAAAAAATAATAATTTTTGTAACCTATTTCTTCTTTTTTACTCAAAAAATGTTTTTCTTTATACAGTATTGAAATAGAAATTATTTTAACAAATTATTCTATATAATAAAAGATAAAATAAGAGCAATATTTTCTCATTAGTTGTTCTCCACCACTCACCTTGGACATATCATAATGAAATAATGTGGCAGAACATTATGAGGGATTATTTTTTTGACATAGAGACATAATCTACAAACTAGAATTATACAAAGTGCCCTCAATATACCACTCTTTAGTGCAGTTCTGTGGGAAGTGGCTGTTCCAACAGTTGCATTTCTGAATTCTCCCGAGTGGTGCAAGAGGAGGAGAGTTTTGTGTCAGAGGTCGTGGATGAGTCTCCTCCATAATAAATTTTTTATTTAAAAGGAGGAAAGAAGTAACGAAGGTGTTGTAAAAGAGGACGCCAGGGCGGCAGAAGCTTGGTTTGGTGTAGAAGGCTTACAGCCGTACATGTTTGAGCCCTTGCCTCACAACGCTGCCAGTCCTGTTAGCTCTACGTCTGCCGAAGACACAGACATCCATCCCCGTGAACACTGGGACGAAACTCAATGTTGAAGTAAATTATTCTTGTTTCTTATTTCAATGGTTGTGCTGCGACATATAAATAAAGATGCCATGACCGAACATTGACAAAAATGTAGAATTGACAGATATATGATTGGCCGTATTTAGGTGTACAAGCTGATGTATAAATTACTCGCCTGCATGAGATAAAAAAAAAAAAAAAACAGATTTTAAGACAGGATTTTAGAAATGTTCAACCTTTTGGGACAATATAGTGTGATAAAGAGTACATTTATATACATTTTTAAGCCAGAATGATTTAACATTTAAATATGGCTTCCCTACGGCTTTAAACATCATTGTTCAAAAAACAAAAGACCAAAATATATCTATCACTTTAATGCATCTTCTTCTGGCTTTTTTATAATTAAGAGATATTCATATTATTTTTTAATCTAAAAAAAGTTGCTCCCACTACATAAACTTAAGGTAAGGTTACTAAATGGAACTCACTGGAAAACAGACCCTATTCTTTAGGGTTCTATATTTTCCATGTTATGGAAACTGGAAATTAAGTTTATGTGTAGAAAAGTTTAGAATTTTAAAATAAGCTGAAGCGGCTTCAATAATGTAAGTGTGTGGACTTTTCTCTGACACAAAAAGAAGAGCAATAAAAGAAAACCTATATAGGTTTTTGTAGCTTCCCTTCTGTTTGAAAGATGCAACATGTTTATCTAAAGCTCAGCTCACTTTGTACCAGGTTTGTGAAGAAACGCCCTTGAAAGGTACTGCTAATAGTGTGATAAAGCAAAGTTGTGGCACCATGTAGAACATTTGAAGCTGAAAAATATGAGAGTTCTATATTCGTATATGAGGTTTCTTAAAAATGTTTAACATATAGGTCACAATTGAGTGTTTCATAAATCAAACAAATCTAAACATTAATACATATCTTTTTATTTAAAAAAAACTTCAACCTAAAGATTGAATCAAGAAAATATAGTTTAAAAATAACTGCATCTTTAAAATCATAATCTCTGCAGAAACAGAATAAAAATATTGCTTTTAAGGCACATTTTGTCAGTTGTAATCACAGTTGTATAATAACAGTTGTTTTAGTGTTTACACATTTCAACTGCAGTGTGAATATATCAAAAATGAGAATAAATTTTATCCTTTTCCATTTGGCTTCTGTGTTTCTTTCTTTTTTTATATACTGTGGCATGTTAAATATAAGCACAATTGTCTGTCTTGAAGTTAAACTCCAGAAAAAGCAACTTCATATTTAAACTACTTTTAGCTGATATGATCTGACTTGCTCGTTCCCTTTTCATGAATATTACAGTATGGGAATGATGTACCTGGCATTCTCTTATACTGTGGGGGAGGGAGCTATATGCATTTCTCTGACTGTTAATTCCTTTCATAACGCTGGTTTGTCACTGGCATGCGTTGATTTGAATCCCAACCAGTCCTTCTTTTCTTTCTTTGTTCTGGGTAAGGAAGGAAGGTTTTTTAAATGAACAGACCACAGTGCATGCTTCTTCGTGGGAATGAGTCCGCCTTTAGCAGAGGATTTCACCCGGAAACCAGGCAAGCAGAGAACTGGAATTAATTACACTAACGAGTTCACCCAGATCTGAGCCAGCTACTCTCATCCAACACAAATACAAAGCCATTCTCAAGTATTTATATCCCTTCATCTTTTTCCTATTTTGTCTCATTGCTGGTGTGCATTTGTTCTCCCACCCACCTTTAGTCAAGAATATGCAGAAGCATTGCACTAAAGTTAGAGCTAATATTGTGTACCAGTCTTGCACATCTAAAGATGTAAATATTTGCTCTTGATCTTTGCAAAGTATGTTAAATGAGTCCGTTTGGATGAAAGAGTATCTACAACATCCCTGTCAAATATTGATTGTTATTTTTCAATTAGACCTTGGCTAAGTCTACTGTAACATAGAAATGCATCAGTACAAATCCCTGCCACACTTTTCAGATTTGTATCAGTGAAAAATGGGCTTTCACCAAATATATATATTTTTTTCTGTTTCTTTTTCGCATGAGGTACATCGGTGTTTGTGAGAAAAAAAATCTTTATCAAACTATTGTAAAGTATCCTTATATACAAAGAAGTATCCAACATTATCATCAAAAGACTTTTGTAGAGGTTTTCTGGTGGTGGGGGTCGGAATATGATAAGCTGATTCCTAATTGCATCAGGGGGAGAGATACCAATTTGCTTGAGAACCTCACCAACTCTTCCTTTAATGCATCTTACAGCATCTTAAACAACCCGTCCACGTTAAAGAAATGCTCATGACTCATTAAATGTATATGTGGGCTTTAAACTCAGCTCCTAAACAGAGCAAAGGGAGAGAGGGAGTGAGAGAAATGCATGAATGGAGAAAGAATTTAAATCTCAATACGTCTTTAGGGAGGAGACACCATGTTGGCATTCAGGCTCTGCTAGGCAAAGAGTCTGTGCCAGCCAAAGGCTCTAAGAGAGTTTTTACAAAAGGCACAGAGCAGTGAGGCAGCTCAGGCTGCAGGGATCTGTCACAGCCTGAGAAGCAGGACTCGCTCCAAGGTTAACAACGCATTCTAGTTGTTTGTGGACCTTTGAGGGGCCAGCAGACTCGAGTGATGGAGAGCTTAATGGGAAGCAGTACTCTCCCGTGCAGCAGTCATGGGAAAAGTGGGAAAATCAGTCTTAACTGGCATCTGCATTGCAAAGGGGGATATCTGTAGATGGAGAATTTCTTCATGGATTAAACTTATATTTATGACATCTATTTATTGGAAAGCCTTAGATGTTTCATTTAATATTGTTAATGTCCATTACATTCTTCCTTTTTAATTGTGTGTCTTAGCTGTACCCCTATAAAGAAAATCAGCTGCAATGGGGATAGTTTTATTGCAATCGCATCCATCCACACCCAAGATGATGCTGACCTAAATATTTTTTGCCTGCACGCATATTTAATGAGGTTTTCCTGCAAACCCACCTTTCCAATTGTAGGCGCCATAAACTGAGCGTAGCAAACATTTTACCCATGGCAGATGTCGTTTTGTTCTATGTAAAAAAAACAGAAATAACACAAAATCTCTACCGAGTCTGGGTTTGTCTGGTAACTCACCGTAAACGGGATATTTTGATCTTCACCGCGACTTATTGGACACTTTATCCTTCCCCGTCTCAATCCCGGCTGTGCAGCATGACAAGACTTGAATCGGATGAAGTATCTGCGTCTCTCTGTCGGCCGCTGAACGCCCTGCAGGGGGAAATGAAGGAGGGCAGCGGTTTGTTATCCTGAGTCGCGCAGAGAAAGCAGAGACGCTCGGAAGCAGAAAGAACAGTTTCGTCCAAGGAAGCCGTGGACAGCTCCGGTGCTGAAATCCTCTACCCCCACCTCCTCTCCTCCCCGCCCTCCTTCATGAGCAACTCCCTCAACATCTAAGACGCACAGCAGCTGCTGTTCAGGTCAGACAGGAAGACTGCTTTGTGCAGACTCACTGTCCGCCACTCAAGTTAAATGCCAGATTTATGACCTTTATATTCACACTTCCTCTCATCTTAACAGAGAGTTCCGTAGTGAATTAGTGGTGATCATTCAGGTTAATAACTTGTGGGACCGGAGCTACATGATTGGCCGAAACCTTCATGTTTGGGGAGATGCTTCCGGACCAGCCAATTATCTCAGCCATCAATGGAAACCTTTGTACAGAGTTAGTTTGACATTAGGCATGCAGATAAATATTTGATTCTCGTTTTAGTCACAATTTAAAGGTGCATAATGACGTTATTTGACTTTTTTTTTATGTATATGCCAGTATCACTCTGGTTTCATACAAAGTTTTTTTTGTTTGTTTTTTCTAAAAAGATTACCATCTATTGCTGGGATATTATTTGTTATTTTTGTTTGTTACACTTTGTTTTTTGCTCAGTTTCTTTAGTAATACAACTGTTTGTGTAGGCCTATATTTACAATAATAACAGAGGTACCATACACTGCATGTGTCGAGGTTTTAAACATACTAGTAGCCTATACTACAGCTAAGCCGCTTTAACACCAAGCAAAGAAAGAAGAGCCCAGATCCGGTGTAAAAATAACCCAAAACATATTTTATTTAAAGATGGATATGACTCAAACAGAGCTCAAAAGTGGAAGCTCAAGATTTGCCTTTCAAAGCATGATGAATTGTGGGATTTTTGAATTCACAAATGTCACACAATGTTTACCCAGGCTTCCTCCCACAATCCAAAAACATGACTGTTAAGTAAATTTGCCTCTCTAAGTTGTGCTGTGGTGTGAGTGTGTGCGAGTCCATTGCATGGTCGCTGTATTACCATGTGATAGACTTGCACCTGTCCAGGATTTACCCTGCCTTTTGCCCATAGGTTTAAGTGGGTATTGGACTCTTTTAATCCACAGCAAGTCTCTAGCCACAAAAAAAGAAATAAATAAATAATTGTGAACACTACCAGAAGTGCCAAATCTACAAAACCCTCAAGAGCACAAATCCAATTCCACTAAGGAAAAATAGTTTTGCATTCATGATTTAAGTATCGCGAAGATAAAATGGCATCAGCTGTTTGTTTCCAAGGTAAAAGGCTGGCCTTGAATTTAACCTAGAAGAAGTAACAGCTCTCTATAAATTCACAGCTAGTCAGAATTCTTTTTTTTTCCACAAAAGACATACTCATCTAAATAGTATATTTTATGTCCTGTTATATCAGAGCTTGGAAATAAATATGAACATGGATGGAATAGTGAACATTAGTTGGACAAGAATTTGGGATGGAAAACAGACTGTAAGCTGGTGTCCATGAGGACAATGCTAAAATAAGTGCTTCAGGGAACATGCTGAGGTCTTCTGTCAAGCCTCTATAAAATCCTTGTATGCCCACAAGTCTCTCTCTCTCCTGTGGATTCAGAGGAGGCGTGCTAACCCTTAGCTCTTTGTACAAATAGCTAACCTGTTATTCCCTCAGGAGAAATCCCATATTAAGACTCAATTATTTAAATAGTTACAATTCCTGATTAGGCTAAATTGATCTTTTTATTTATTTTTTTATCAAAATAATGTTTTATCTAAATCTGATTTTGTTGTGGGAATCAATTTATACACGTTTCAATTGTTCCAAATTAGTTTAAGACCTAATTTAACCTCAGTCCAATTGCTTCAAAATAAACTTTGGTTCTTAAACATAAAATGCATGCTAAACAGTGATATCATTGCATCATCCTATTGCTCATGGTTTTAATTTGCCTTCTATCTCCTATGTGCAAATAGTAGCTTAGTTGAGTTTCATTACCTTAGTTGTGAGTTTCTAACTGACATATGTTTGACCTGGAGTCAAATTATTCTCTTTTGTTTTGAACGGAAGTGTTTGAATTTATTCCATATGTGTGCAGTCTTAATCACACTTTTATCAGTGATCCTGTGTCACACAGCCACCTTGAAACATGTTCACAGGAAAACACATGATAGTACAAAAATAATTTGATTAAATGCTAAATTACAAATAAATAAATACAAAGAAGTGCAAAACAGTTATAAGTGTTTATTGGAGCCCTTGTACTACATTTAATGTTGCGCTGATGCAGTATTGTGCTGTATTGTCCAATACTGATACCATACCGATTCCATCTGTTTGAAATTGATGAGTGTGTTTATATAAAGAAGTGCAAACTACTTGGATGTAAAATAATTGCCATCATGGCTTTTCCAAGCTGCTGCCTACCTTTGTGAAGCAGGAAAAAGACTAATACAAAGTGAATCCAGTAGAACTTTTTATTACCTACCTGGGATGGGTGACAGTAGTTGAATAAACGTTTGGCTCTCAAAATGGTATTGGTGCCATAATTGTCAGTACTCGCCGATACCAATTCCACCATTTTAGTGCAGTACCAGGGCCCCGCCCGATACTGGTATCAGTATTGGTGCAACTCTAACTACATTTCCATGTGATGTAACATGTTCAGAAATTGTAAACATACACCTACTGTACATCATGCAGACCATTAGAATGCATACCCAGTAAAAAAAATATCATACAATATATTGTGGACACCTCTTAAAGTGAAAGTTTAGTCAATGTCATTAGAACCATTTAAAAGGTGTGTCTTCCTTTTCCTTTTCACATAACAATAAATAGCTTATACTCTGTGTGGCACTTTGTTGTTCCATAGGCCTCTGCTTTCAATTGAGAGCCATGCATTATTGATAAAACCCTGAGTGCAGATTGAGCTATGATTTTGAGTGTAATTGCTTACTTTTCTCATTAGAAGGAAACAGAGAAAGAAAATATACAGGTGCTGGTCATAAAATTAGAATATCATGAAAAAGTTGATTGATTTCAGTAATTCCATTTAAAAAGTGAAACTTGTATATTATATTCATACATTACATACAAACTCATATATTTCAGATGTTTATTTTGTTTAATTTTGATGATTACAAATGACAACAAATGAAAATCTCAAATTCATCATACCAGAAAATTAGAATATTACTGAAGACCAATAAAAACAAAGGATTTATAGAAATGTTGGCCAACTGAAAAGTATGAACATGAAAAGTATGAGCATGTACAGCACTCAGTATTTAGTTGGGCCTCCTTTGGCCTGTATTACTGCAGCAATGCGGCGTGGCATGGAGTCGATCAGTCTGTGGCACTGCTCAGGTGTTATGATAGCCCAGGTTGCTCTAATAGTGGCTTTTAGCTCTTCTGAATTGTTGGGTCTGGTGTATTGCATCTTCTTCTTCACAATACCCCATAGATTTTCTATGGGGTTAAGGTCAAGAGAGTTTGCTGGCCAATTAAGAACAGGGATACCATGGTCCTTCAACCAGGTACTGGTAGCTTTGGCACTGTGTGCAGGTGCCAAGTCCTGTTGGAAAATGAAATCTGCATCTCCAAAAAGTTGGTCAGCTGCAGGAAGCATGAAGTGCTCTAAAACTTCCTGGTATGTGGCTGCGTTGACCCTGGACCTCAGAAAACACAATGGACCAACACCAGCAGATGACATGGCACCCCAAACCATCACTGACTGTGGAAACTTTACACTGGACTTCAAGCAACGTGGATGAAGTGCCTCTCTTCTTTTCCTCCAGACTCTGGGACCTTGATTTCCAAAGGAAATGCAAAATTTACTTTCATCAGAGAACATGACTTTGGACCACTCACCAGCAGTCCAGTCCTGTTTCTCTTTAGCCCAGGCAAGACGCTTCTGACGCTGTCTGTGGTTCAAGAGTGGCTTGACACAAGGAATGCGACAGCAGAAACCCATGTCTTTCATACGTCTGTGTGTGGTGGTTCTTGAAGCACTCACTCCAGCTGCAGTCCACTCTTTGTGAATCTCCCCCACATTTTTGAATGGGTTTTGTTTCACAATACTCTCCAGGGTGCGGTTATCTCTCTTGCTTGTACACTTTTTTCGACCACATCTTTTCCTTCCCTTCGCCTCTCTATTAATGTGCTTGGACACTGAGCTCTGTGAACAGCCAGCCTCTTTAGCGACGACCTTTTGTGTCTTGCCCTCCTTGTGCAAGGTGTCGATGGTCGTCTTTTGGACAACTGTCAAGTCAGCAGTCTTCCCCATGATTGTGTAGCCTATAGAACTAGACTGAAAGACCATTTAAAGGCTTTTGCAGGTGGTTTGAGTTAATTAGCTGATTAGAGTGTGGCACCAGGGGCCATCAATTTTGAACCTTTTCACAATATTCTAATTTTCTGATATGATGAATTTGAGATTTTCATTTGTTGTCATTTGTAATCATCAAAATTAAACAAAATAAACATCTGAAATATATGAGTTTGTATGTAATGTATGAATATAATATACAAGTTTCACTTTTTAAATGGAATTACTGAAATCAATCTACTTTTTCATGATATTCTAATTTTATGACCAGCACCTGTATGTTCAACTGCAAGAAGGATTGTGCAGTGCCAGCATTTTTCTATTCCATTCTTTTACTGTTCCATTTTTTCTTCTAAATTAACATTTTCTTATGTTTAAAAGCGTACATTGCTGTCATAAACAGAACCAAAGACGAGACAGATGGTATAAAATGATAGCAAAGCTTGAAAGATCATCACAATGCCTTTGAGTGTTACTGTTCAAAAGATTTTTTAAATCATTTATGGAACCCTTAACAGCATAATACCAAAGAGTCTTAAGAAATGAAATAAATTAGGATTAGGTTCTGTTGTCATGCTAACAGAGACTACACACTGTACAGAATGCTCCGTTTTCTTAATCTTAATACCCTCCTTACATCTTAATACCCTGACAAAAAACATTGTTTATTGGTAAAAGAAGCAAACATTCAAGAAAAGGAGATGGTTAAAAGTGATAACCTAAAGCAGGTATAACTGAAGGAGAGGATAACTAGTGCTGCTGAAACTAATATGGCTTGCGACATGTGTAATTCTGGTTTTAGAATACAGGTGCTGGTCATAAAATTAGAATATCATGAAAAAGTAGATTGATTTCAGTAATTCCATTTAAAAAGTGAAACTTGTATATTATATTCATACATTACATACAAACTCATATATTTCA